TTCCGGTAAAACCATCAAACTTGTTACAAAATGTTGAAAATGATCATACATTTTTTGTAGATTATTTTATTTTCTATAAAATTAGCCATTATTTTTTTTAATGTTTTATTTATGATTTACTGGTTTTAGCATTATAAATACAAATATTTTCTGCAATAAAATTGATATTTTTTTGAAATTAATTAATATTTAAATCAGAATTATTAATTTATAAAGTTAGTGACTGTAGAACTATAAGTTTTAAAATTATAAAATTACACAATTTTAAAAAAAATTAAAATGATTGACCAAAGCCTCATAACTTTTTGTTATAAGTCTCATAGAAAAACAAGTATATTTATTATAATATAATAAGATACCGTTTTGTGGAGCGTTTACTTTAAATAATATAATAAAATTATATTTTTGAAATATGTTGTTTTCAATTAAGTCCATTAATCCGTTAAAAAGATATATAATTCTCTTTAATTTTTTTCCATGCTATTTAAATGAAAAAGAGAAAATATAAATCGAAAGTTGCCTCTTAATAATAATATTAAGAGCTAAAATTTTACCAGGATCAATATTTTACCTTTAAATCAACTATTAAATAGTTGATTTTTTAATCAGCCTAATTAATATTAAAAAAAGGTATTTGCATCGCGTAGGGGGCCCTCGATAGGACGGGGCCCTGGGCTGCAGCCCATAATGCCCATGCTTAAATCCGTCCATGACTAAATACCTTTTGACATAAGGTGTAACGGAAAAATATTTAAAAAAATATTTTCCCAAAGGTAAAGAAAAAAAATGCATTTAAAGTTTTTTATATTTTTTGTGATATGCCTCTGGTTACACACTTGTGTTCTGTGAGTACATGGATACCAACCAACAAAGTAGCTGCGCGTTGCCAGATGTAAAAAATTGTTACTAAACATTTTTCTTGCAAAAAATAAATAAAAACTCAATAAATACAAAAGTTTTATGCCCTTAAAGCTCTAATACCCTTCTGTATTTGTTTACTTATCCAGCTATTAGCTTAAGCAATGATTAGAAAATTTAGTACCTATTTTAAAAACTGCATAACCACAAAATTAATTTTTTCATCGGTTTTTTCTTTCTGTTTACTTAGATAAGGACAAGTTCACAGGTTAAACTTTAAACATTCAATTTGTCTAAATACATAAGCACTTCATTTAGTTAAGATATTTACAATTTGAGCCCATGGGCATTTCTTTCAAATTTTAGGTTATGCATAACCTAAAATTTGAAAGAAATGCACTAAATCTGTCATAAAAGTTGCCAGATTTTGTTTGAATTTACCTTCAGTACAAAAATGACATAAGGGTGATTCTACAAAAGTTGCACAACTTGATGTCATCAGTCAATAAAGTAGGTATTTTAATATATTTGTAAATATTTTAGTATATTACAAAAGATCCAGGTTTTTTTAACTTGTCCACCCAATTTTAATGTATTTTTTTTAAAAGCACGTTTGTAGAAAAACATAATAAATATTCAAAACATCAGTAGGTACTTTAGCGTGAATCAAATATTTGACTGATTTTATTTATTTATCTGAAATTTTTCAATTTCACTACAAACTATAAAACATTAAATAATGTATTTTTTATATTTTATCATAGATTCGAATAATAGCAATTTAAAAAAAAATGATCTCACTTTTACCGTCAGTTCTGTGTCCAATGTTCAAATTCAAAATTCCTGCGAAATATTCAAGTTTAAACGTCAAGTCCTCGTTTTAACTCGTTGGTAAAAAATTCCCTACTGAGCCCGCCCTTTGCACGACAGTCATCTTAAAAACAATGCAAGCGGCGAAGTTGTGGTGAATGCACGTATAGTTCCAGTCAAAATTTCAGTACTGTGGTGAGTAGTTATTTTCTTACGTATACAGGGTGTCCCAAAAGTCAACGATATCCTTTGGAGGACTGATAGACCAACTCATGACTAAGCAGAAAATCAAAATATGACCTTAGTAAAAATAGTTAGTTTTTGAATTTATTTATATATATTTCATTGTAATTTATATAAGGCTATATGTGATTTGTTAATAAGTAGCATCCACTAATAAAAAATATCAGTAAAATACTTAATTCCGAGTTATAATCTCAAATTTGTATCCCATTCATCAGTACCCGTGTCGTCAGTTCCATGTTCGATGTTTCGGTTATCTTTTTTTTCGAAAATTTAAATTCTGCATGCGCAGAACTTGTTTATTTAATGTCATTATAAACTCATATAAATTTGGTGTGGGTCCCATATCTAATAATTGAGATATCGGTATACCCAATCCACCAGCTGCCACTGATGTGTGGTTATTTGATTTTAAGATATTGAATGTATAATATGCTCAAAGTTGTAATAAATCTTATATTTTCCAATAAATTATGTATTTAATTAGAACCCTGGTATACTCGTCACTTCCCTTGCATTTAAATTTAGAAAACGCAGATATTTCAGAAACTGTTTGAAAAAGTGACTGGCCCGGTCTAGAACAGTATAATATACTATATATTATATTATTTATTATATTATCTATGTTCTCATAACAAAATACTGTTTTATTTTCTCCAAAAACTATATAAACAAAATAAAGTCAAAAGTTGACCAACTTTTGTAGAATCACCTATAATAAACAATTTGCATTGTTGATTTTGTCATTTTTGCAATTAAGCTAAATTTAAACAAAATTTGGCATTTCTTGACAGAATCTGGAAACGCTGGTTGTTACCAACAATAACATAATAAATTAAATTAGGCAAACAGATTAGCCTAAAGTTCCTAGTCGATCGGTGGCGTTTTGGTTATTATAAATTATTTTTAGTCTTTAGAATTTAGAAAAAACTTTCAAGTGCTTCTTTGTGGACCCTAAGAAACTACCCATTTTAATACATTACATTCATTATTACATAACACCCTTTATTTCGAGGGAATGATTTCACACAATTCTCTAGATAATAGCCAATGGTAATAGTCGTGAAGCTCGAAGATTGTACCAAGAAGCATTCCAGGGTATACCCCCATGTGAACGGACGTTTACCAGTTTACATGAAAGACTGTGTGAAACTGGCACTTTTAAAGTAAACAAAGGTAATTGCGGGAAAAATCTAACAACTGGAACAGTGGAAAAAGAGGAAACTGTCCTGGAAGTAGTTGGCGCTAATCCTGACACAAGCAAGAGGACGTTCCAAAAAGTACAGTTTGGGAAATACTGCAGGACCAACTTATACAAGGTGTCCCTAAACTTGATGGCATAAATTTAGGAGCAGATTAAGCAAGTCAAAATAAGACGAAAATCTAAATAAATATTTTTCCTAATTACGTATGTTTAAAAGTTACAGGGTGATAAAGTGTTACTTATCATATCAGTTTTTTTAATATAACTTCTACTATGGTAGACTTGGAAAGGTGATATTTTGCGAACACACACTTACTACCAAAACACATATTCACACATAATTACAATTGTTTGAGTGAATACAGTGTCGTAGAAACGGGGGTTGCTTTAAGCTTATTATCCCATACAAACTTTGAGGTTAGGTTTTTGTAACATTTGATGCAATTTATCGATTAAACAGTTCGGCTACCATTAAAAAGGTGTACTTCTCAAACTTCGATAAAATAAACCGTTTCCGAGATATTTGAGATTACAATAATTGTTTTATCGCATTATTTAAAAGGATTAAAAGGTATACCTATATATATATATGATAACAAATTTTATTTTTTAATTGAAAAAACTAAAAAGGGCATTCCATGAGCCTCGGGACTTTTTGCCCTGACCGTCACATTAATAAAAATGTAGTTTTTTCAATTAAATTTGTTTTTATCATATAACTTTTAGTCCTTTAATGCGATATAACAATTATTGTAATCTCGAATATCTCGAGAACGGTTAATTTTATCGAAGTTTGAGAGGTACACCTTTTTAATAGTAGCCGAACTGAGTAATCGAAAAATTGCATCAAATGGTATAAAAACCTAACCTCAAAGTTTGTATGGGACAATAAGATTAAGCAACCCCTGTTTCTACGACACTGTGTTCACTCAAACAATTGTAATTATGTGTGAATATGTGTTTTGGTAGTAAGTGACTGTTCGCAAAATATCACCTTTCCAAGTCTACCATAGTAGAAGTTATATTAAAAAAACTGATATGATAAGTAACACTTTATCACCCTCTATCTTTTAAACATACGTAATTAGAAAAAATATTTATTTAGATTTTCGTCTTATTTTGACTTGCTTAATCTGCTCCTAAATTTATGCCACTAAGTTTAGGGACACCTTGTATATCCCTATCATTTACAGAGAGTACAAGCTTTAAATTCTTAGGATCTTCCACGTAGACTAGAATTCTGTCGCTGGTTAAGAACAAAACGGCAGGAAGACCCCAACTTTATTGAAATACAAATTTTTACTGACAAAGCCGGATTCAATAGGGGTGGAATTATTAATTTTCATAATAGTCATGCAAAGATTTTCTATGAACGTTTGATTAGGAATAATTGGAAATTTCTTGACAGGTCCTCACATATTTAAAATCATTGGTGTATGCAGTTCCAATTCATAACGTTGAGGAATTAATGCGGCGGGTTGTAAATAATTCTGGATGTTTCGCTAACATTAGAAGATCTATAAACAACGCGTTAGGAGATGCTTGGAAGAGAACGGCGGTCATTTTGAGCATTTACTAAAATAAGAATTGTTAAAAATTGAAAATAAATTGCGTTATTGTTGAAGTTAATTCATTGTGTAATAACTAGAATTTATGAATTTTTGTGGCGGGACATTTTTAATAGCGTGTTTCTCAAAAACGGTTGGCTCCATAACTTTGTAGAAGAGCAGCTTTTTTACGTAAAATTATCTTAAGAATTTTATTCCATCGAGAATTTAACCCCACAAAAAAGTAAGGAGGATTTTTTCTATGTATGATTATGAAGGAGACACAGTCAATCAATTTAAGTTTAATTTTTATATAAACCATTTTAAACAATTCATGACTACTTTAAATGCTTGAACAAACATTCAGTGACACACTCGTCAACAAAATGAAGCAAATCGAACAATTCCATGGTGCAAGTCTCGGTAGTGCAGCTATTTCTGTTTACTCTATCGGTGCATTCGTCCAACTTCCTTATTAACTTTTTGGCCTCCGGTTTTCGACGACAGTCTTCGCGTAAAACATCTTGAGGATCCTCCAGTTCCCCTTCTTCATCTCTAGGTGCCTCTTTTTGTTCCGATTCGTCCGGTTCGCAAGGCAATTCAGCACCTCCTTCAGATTCTTCTTCGGATTTTTCTTGAGATTCTTCTTCAGACTCCAATTTAACTTTCGTAAATAAGTTTTTTAGGAAACTTGACATTTTTAGATTTGTTTATGACAGATGTCAATGTTAAGTTTACTTTATATTTTCCAAATTTAGCAATTCAATCATACACGCAAAAAAATTTGTTGTCAAAATCAATATAATTATATGAATTGTATTGAAAAGACGGGTAATAACAAATTGTAATACACATTCGGACAAAATTGAAAAAAAAAAATTTACATTAATGTATTACTATAACTTATGGATAACACCTAGAACAGCAATTTGTAGTTGCTACTGTAACACATATTTTTATATGTGCATTTTAGTCATGTACTTGTTGCGTTTGTCACTATAATCTGGGTCCAGAAAATGTTATAATATACATATAATATATTCATTCGCCTTTTGATTGTTGTTATTTTTATAATTATGATAATCAATAAATAACTATTATTATTATTATTATATTCATTCGAAACAACAATGACACAACTCAAAAATCACAGTTTTTGAGAAAACGCATTTTAAATTTGTTATTACTGTTTTCCATTAACCAAGCCGGGCTCAAAAAATAAAAGCTGGGCTCAAATATTTTGGTTGTTTAGGCATACTCTCTAAAAAACAGTAATAAGAAATTTAAAATGCATTTTCTCAAAAACTGTGATTTTTGAGTTGTGCCACTGTTGTTTCGAATGAAATTATATAATATTTATGGTACAAGATGACAAAACTTTGTAGAGTTTTTCACAACAATTACTAAAAAAGTGTTAAACACTGCTGTTAAAAATGATACAATATTGTAGTAATTATTCAAGCATAAGGCTATATTTATACATAGGTATAAAATGTTGTTGCATTTTTAATGCAACCAAATAAATTTGTTCAAACGAATTGTAGCAGATCTTCGATATATTTTTGAGGGGTTGGATGAGGGGATAAAAAGCCAATAGCACTGTAAAATAATACAAGTTTTATTACTGACTGGTATAAAAATCAACATATTATTCTTAAAATTAAACTTAATGCTAAAAATGCAGTATGCATGCCTTACAGCTTTAAAATAAATACATATTTCAATGACGAATAAAAAAATAAATATTACACATATAGGTGTTTTGGAACCCCCTTATTTTGCTCTATACAAAAATGTACAAATATATCTGGTGTCCCATTTAAATAATATAAAATATTTAATGAACGCGATGTCCCATTGTTTTGGTTCCGACATGTTCAAATACTATAGGTTCACTTGCAGCTGCTTCGATTACCTAAAAGATTAGTTATATAGGGTTGTCCAAAAAAAACCGTAACTTTTTTCTTATAAAGGAAATTTGTAATTTATTTTGTCCATAAATTTTTGAGGGGAATGAACCCTTTTCTAGTTTTTATATTTTATAAATTGTTTTTATGAAAAGTAAATGTTTTACTAAAAATCCATTGTTGTTTTAGATGTTTAAAGCAAAAACGCTTTTATACAAGGTATACACATTTAATTTTTAACTTTTGTTTTCGAGGACAACTATTACTAGGAAGCTAAGAATATGAAATTAACTTACTTTTAAATTCTTCGATAAGATTTTTATATTTGAATGGGGTTATAACCCCATTCTTTCAATAAATCTGCCATAAACTGATTCATTTCTCATTTCGCACACAACACAAATTATTTTTCCGTCCATTTTGGCTTTTTTACAACTAGGGTAAGTAGTTCCGACCGCTACCTACACTCAAACGTATTTATCTAGGCTCTACTAAGACTCAACTGCAATTATAATTTTATACAGTACACCGGCCAGACTCTGGTGGATTTTATGTATACCAATATCTCAGTTATTAGACATGGGTCCCACACCAAATTTATAATAGTTTATAATGACATTAAATAAACAAGTTCAGCGCAAACAGAATTTAAATTGAAGTTTATGAAAAAAAGTTAGTTTTTCCTATTGCCTCACCCGCCTCCAGGCCCCCCTATTTGAGATAATTCAAATTAAAGTGGTGCAATTTATTATCTACTATAATTTATCGACAAATTTAAAATTTTATTTAAAAAATCCAAATACAGGGTGTCCAGAAAAGGTATGGGGTATTTGTAAGTTCAATAAAAATAAAACTACTAAGTCAGAAAAAAATATATTTTTTTTAATTTTTAGACAGTTTTGGAAAATTAAGTGCCAAAGATTTTGTTGTCCAAATGTTGAACCTCGCGCTGCTGGCATTCCTCTAACCGAAAACGGAAATTCACTATTGCTCGTCTACACATATCTCTGTAAACAGCGGCCATTTCGGTGCGGATCTTGTGATTCAATTTCAGGAAAATTCGTGGTATGTTTTTATAAACTTTATCTCTAAGGTTTCCTCATAAAAAAATAATCAAATGGTGTAAGATACGCTTCTCGAAAGCCAGTTAATGGTGCCACGTCGAGAGATCACTTTTTTCGGGAAAATTTGATTGAAAACCTCAAGTGACTGATTTAAGGGGTGGCAAGGGGCCCCATCTTGTTGAAACCATGTTTCCACATTAAAACCTTCAAACTTCTGCAGTTGTGGAATCAAAAAGTTTCTTTAACTTGTCGCAATACCGTTCACTGCAGTGAACGGTTAACCTGTTTACCGTAAGTGCTAGCCCTCATCGGTTTTCAAAAATGTAAGGCCCAATGATTCCTTCATCACTTGATTATTTTTATGGGGATACCTTAAAGAGAAAGTTTATGAAAATAGACCACGAACTCTCCTGCAATTAAAGCACAACATCCGCAACGAAATGGCCGTTGTTTTCAGAGATATGAGTAGACGCGTGATAGTTAATTCCCGTTTTCGGTTAGAGGAATGCCAGCAGGGCGAGGGTCAACATTTGGGCAACAAAATCTTTGGGACTTTATTTTTCAAAACTTTGTCTACATTGAGAAAAATGGTCGTTAACTGTTAAAGTAACTGGTTAATTTCTAACGAGCTACAACTTAGAATAGGACGCACAAAATGTGAGTTTGATTCTAAAATATGGTTCGTTGGAGAAATTCTAATTAATCATGTATTATTTTTAAACTAAATCATTTAACTATTGCACTAAATTGTAGGTAATTATTAAATGCACGATATTAATCTTAACCGTGGTTGTAGTAATTGTTAACTAGCGGCGCTTAATAACAACTTATGTATTAGTGTGTAGTTTTATTGAGTTAAATGTTAACTAATAACTTGGTAATAGAAATCTAGCGGCGTTTAATAACAACTTATGAATTAGTGTGTAGTTTTATTGAGTTAAATGTTAACTAATAACTTGGTAATAGAAATCTTATAAATCTTTTTGTTACTTACTTTCTATTAATATTAGATTCTTAAATCTATGGTAGTTCTGGTGTTGACTTAATTATAAACTAATGAAATTTTAATATTAACTTATCAAATGTTAGCAATAAAACAGTTAATGTAAATAATATTGATTTATTTAAATATTTTATAAAAATATAGAAAAACATTGCACATTCTGTAACTTAATAAAAACTAAATAATATTCTAAAAGGCGAAAGAACAGTTGCAAACGAATTCTTTCGGGTAATGTGTACGTATGGAGGTCGTGGGTTCGACTCCCACCAGGGGCTGTTTATTTGTGTTGTCCTATTGTGTAATAGTCCTTCGGAGGGGACTTTAAGCCCGCGGTCCGTTCCTACCCCTAACCCGCACAAGGCATTCAGTTGGCTTAGGGGACTTCTTAAGAAGTAAGGATGGAACTAAAAGAGCACTTTTGTATAAAACTTCAGTATATATGATATTTGGTTAATATATTAACCAAATATCATATATGATTATAAGGATTTTGACATATAGGCAAAATATTTCCCTATTTTGGTTTAATAGTAATTAATTGAGCAAATAACAGTTTAGATTGCTTCAATTTTAATGCATTCAATGACAGCGCTGTTCTTGGTACTATGTTAGATTTTTTTCTGTGTAGTATTACACGCGGCCTTCATCTCAGACTAAATGCATTATTGTCACAATTTGTTTATTTTTTGTTTTACACAAACAATGCAAATCATTACAATGGGGTTAGTTGCTTGTTTTACACATTACCAGTACATTTTGTTACATTTTGCGACAATTCTCTTGCATCAAAATTATGTACTATATTCAATTTAGACCATAGCAAGTAACTTAAAGTGATAAATTCTTTTCATGTTTGGGTGAAATATTACCACAATTTTTTTACAACAATATTGTAGAACTTAATTTAAAACAATTTCTTTCCGAGTAGGCTCATAAAAGCAGCGCATCAAAACAACAACCAGCGTAAAAGTGGAAAAAGAGGAGAGAAAAAAATCGATTTGTTTTGTATGTGTGTTTAAAACTGACGAGCCATCCAAAGCGGTGTGTTTGAGGCGTAACGCAAAAACCCTAATGGCCCGGGTTAAACACATCAAGTAGTTCACATTTTTCAGCCGGAGCTAAACCGAACGCGGTGGCCAGCGTTCAGCCATCGCTGAATATAAGCGACGCACAGACATGTATTTTGACCTAAAACGTGGCCAAAACTCAATTTTTATTACTAGATCTAAGATTGCGTCTCAAAGCAGATGGATAACATCTTTTGGTGTAGTTGCTACCTGGATTGGCCATCCCAGTCCGCGGTACCAATTCTAGCTGTTAACAGCTATAGAACTTAGCGCTCCTTTAAACCGTACGTCTTCGTTTGCGACACTCCACAAAAACACAAATTTTCGCCGTGTTGTTTCTTATGTTTAAAGTGGTTTTGGTGGAAAAAGTTGATATGGATATCGTCAATCAATATTTTGAGCAACATTTTATTTATGTTATAAAATTTATTTATTCATATCGAGTCCTATATCTATCTAACTAAAAATATTAAATTTTTCTCCTCTTTTTAAACAAACATTTGTATTTTTAAATATATGCAACACCTCGCAACGGCATCCACGTTTTATTATACTTCAGGTACACAGAAAAAAATAATTACATATTATCAATGTATGCCAAACATTGACCAATATTTTATTAAATTAATGTAGTTATACATAAATAAAATGTATAAATACATTAATAGAATGTTTAAATTTTATAAGCTCATGACCACGTACATTGATATTATGTATAGCATACATTAATATAATATACAATTTTACATAATATCAATGTATTAATACATTAAATTCATGTAAAAGTACATTTAACTAAAGTATATATACATTAACTTTAGCCAAATCATTAAAAAAAAACGTACATTATATTAATGTATAAATACATTAACCAATGTTTCAGGTTTATTAATTGATGTTTTTAATACATTATATCAATGTATAAATTCATTAATCAAGGTAGATTGTTTATTATTCAATAAATTAATACATTGTATTGATGTGCAAAGTTATAAACGCCTACAGAGTATTAATTATATAGCTTCCCCCTTTACTAGCCAACAGTGCAAGGACGTATTTGCTTCTGTTCCAGAGCCCAAACCCTAAGAAAAAATTGAAATTATTATTCTTTTGTGTTTGTGAGTCGAATCAGGTGGTTATTGTGAAAGTAAAAAGCAGATAAATAGAAAAAAAGGTAAGAAATATCACTTATTAATGTAAAAAAGTAATATAATATATGAAAATAACACTTTACGTTAAATGAGTCGCCGATGTAGGTATTACAATTATTGTCAAGTATTGACTACAACCATTGTTTTTAGAGCTAAAATTAACGTTTCCTACACATAACAGAAATTCAATTTTTATAAAATATAATTAATCATAAGCATAATAAAAACGGCTCTAACACAGCTATTATTATAATAGTGTATTAGCTGTGAATCTAACATTATTTTAACTCAACTTCTTATCTATTAGATACAAACTCTACACACAAAATATAATTTTTAATTATTACTTTTTATTTTTACAATTAGGATACACACTTTTTATCGAAATTACCTTAGATGCTTGTGAAATAATATTATGTTGCTATTGTTTCAGATGCACGAGATGCAACAATTTTTCTGGTAATCCATGGCAATCCAACTGGCAAAATAGTCAAAAAAGATAACACAGAAAAAAACGTGACAACTAAATTTACGATAAAGGATTCACAAGACGCATTTCTGTACCTATCACCCACTTTAGAGGAGTTCGAGAAGCATCTTGATCATTTAAAAAAAGCAAGTCAATGCACAGCCGTTTTATTTATTTTTTGGATAGGAAAGGATGAGGTAAACATTAAAGAAATTTATCTTTTTTTTAATTATGTCCGATATAAATTTTTTAGTGTATTAAGGGCAGTAGATATTTGCTTTAAATGTATTTATTTGTTTAATTTAGATTTTCCGCCCGAATCAGTAATGATTTATAATTTCTTAGAAACCTTTTTTTTTTAAACAACAAAAAATTTTGGTAAAGTTTATTCATTAAAAGAGTATTTAAATAAAAAATCTAATATGTATAAAAATGTGTTTTTTTCCTCATCCAAAAACACTATTCAGTGCGTTCCACAAAAGTTTGGCGGTCTTAGGAATGTGATGCAATTCTTCATTTCTGTATAACGGACAACTCTTTATTGATATCGCAAATATATGCAAAACCCTAGCATTATTATTATAATTAAAAGTTGGCCGTTATATAGAAATTATGGATTGCATCACATTCCTAAGACCGCCAATCTTTCGTGGAACGCACAGTCAATTATAACAATATATAGTTATATCAATGTACATGGTACATTATATCAATGTACAGGGTGCATTATATCAATGTAGAGGGTACATTATATCAATGTACAGGGTATAATATATCAATGTACAGGGTACATTATATCAATGTACAAGGTGCATTATATCAATGTACAGGGTGCATTATATCAATGTAGAGGGTACATTAAATTAATGAATAAGGTACATACTATAAATGTATAACATACATTGACCAATGTATCTGTTACATTATATCAATGTACTCTTCATTGTTCAATGTAATTTGTCATGCATTAATGTAACATTTACATTATAATAATGTATTTGTGCATCGGCTCTATTTTAATGTGCGCATACATTGTCACAATATTAAAATACATTAATATTATGTACTTTTTTTTTCTGTGTATATATTTTCAGATCACGGGAAAATTTACCCTTAAAAATAGACACTTTAGTGCGATCTTATAAGATTTTTAGGTGGATGGAAATATTTTTTATTTTAATATTGTTATTTTTTTTTATAAATTTATAAATACATATTTTTTTTTATTTCTAGTAAAAATACCTACTATAACTTGTATACCTTTAGAAATATGTTTTTTAGTCATTTGCTACACTTTTGATACAGAAAAAGGGCCCAAATATTTTTGGCCACGTTTTAGGTCAAAATACCTGTCTGTGCGACGATGAAATAACACGCGGTGCGTTGCCTCTGCAAAGCTTCGAACCGTGATGTAATTGCCAGTTTTCATAAGCTAAAATTACCTACTAACAAATTTTTTTTATCAGAAAAAACCTTTATCCGAAATTGGCAGTAAGGTAGTCAACAATCGGCAGTAAAGTAAAAGAAATCGGCAGTAAAGTAGCCGATTTAATACAAGTATTGTATGAAACCCATTATAGATGTGCCTACTACTCCTCAGCAGCAACTAATTAATATTTAAAAAAAGCACCGTTGCGGAGGTCGATTGGACCCTTTTATATACTTTAATAAAAATAATAAGTTAATTTTATTAATAAAATTAAAAAATCGCCGCGGCGCGCAAATATATTATAACCTTCGCAACAAACAGTATACGTAGACACTCATTCAAATGACATTTGATTTGATCATCAAATGACATTTAATTTGATCTTCACTATTAATTATTAGTTATTATTATTATAAATGAGGTTTCGGATAAAATTTAATATGCACCTCGGCATTAAAGTAATTTTTTATCAAGTGGTTATTTGCCTCGGCTTTCGCCTCGGCAAATAATTTCCACATTCGTGATAAAAAACACGACTTTACTGCCTTGATACATAAATAACTATTTAGTGATATCTAAAACAGTTTTCACGAAGGCAACAAAAATAAATGAACAAAAATAGCAAATTTGTTTAGTAAAAAGCATAACCTCTGGTTTAAATTGTCATTATTAATATTATTATTCGTGGTGTGCGTGTTTGCATTGAATTGAAGTGACCGTTTTCGATAGACATAACAGCCGCACAAGTATCTGTGTGTTGGGGTTAAGCGATCACGCTAAATTCGTGAAATTCTGCTTCTACCGTTTCGTGCCTGGCACTAAAATAATGTTCTCCCTTTACTTAGAAAAACGTGTCCTGTCTGTCACTTTTAAGGCCCAGTTTAAATTTAACCCCGCAAAATTAACACGAACGTCTTTTCTGTCTTTGTATCATGGAAAAATCAATTGTATACATAATTTGTACAATATATAGTTAACTTTCAATGTCGGTATTTAAAAGAACGCAAATTAACTTTTTGTTTATCGACCGAACACAAAGAAATTTCAATTAAAAAACCCAATCAACCCCTGTCATATTTTAAGCTTCCTCTCCCTTTGTAACTAAATTCCGTCCATCTGGTCAAGCCGGCCAACTTACCAAACCGAAAATACATTCATTTGCATTTCAACACTTCCTATTGATTTATACTGAAAGGAAGTCTTCAGCAAAACGAAAAACCAACTATATTCATTTATTTATCAATAAACTTAATTTTAATGTAATGGTATTTTTTTCAGGAAAAAGTTTTACGCTAACAATTATGGTATCAACTAGCCCTCCCCAGGTGGCAACATACAATAAAGCTATAAAAGTGACAGTGGATGGTCCCAGGGAACCTAGATCAAAAACAAGTGAGTAAGATCAGTTTTTTCGACATGCTCTATCTAGAATAGATTTTCAAATGTAATTTATTAAGTCAATTTAGAAAAACTATCCAGAGGGACAAACCAACTTGTCGGGCAAAAATTAAGTTTGTTTCAATTTTAAAATATTTACATCTTTAAGTTCAAATTTTATTCTGTGTTCTGTGACATGAGTGATGAGTGTGATATGACTGGATTTGATATATGATATATGATAAGTTTGGGGAACTTTCTTTAGTTTTCTACTTTTTCGCACAGCAAAATACAAAAATAAAATACAAAATAATCTGTGCTCTGTGGTCTTTCAACTTTTAACTTTCAACTGTGAATGGTCCTGGTTGCAGTTCTTTAAATTCTATTTGGAAAAACCAATCAAAAACACTCGGTTTATTTAAGAAACCTGTAATTTTGTTATATTTAGGAAGTCTTCCATTACATCATAATTTTCAAATCCTTCAGCTTTAATTATATAATAAATAGTAAAATTTAATAAAAAATAAACCACCATCAAAATAAGCTACGAAGGAAACAACTTTCAAAAGGTAAATCTCAGTGTGGCGAGAAGAAGTAAATAAGATGACAGGAAGCAGGGGTGGCCGCCGCGCGTCTTGGCAGGATTTTACACTTTCTTAAAGACGCAACAGGTCCGAGTAGCAGGAAAAGAGAATTATGTCCTTAAAGAAAGTTTTATGACTGGAAAATAATTCACTTAACAAGTTGCAGGGAATAAATGATTTATGACGAAAGTTATGCTACATAGGTACTTTATTCATTTTAATAAAATAACCCAAGAGTTATTTATTAACTTCATTTGATTGCTGCATCATTATATTTATCGAAGCTTCATTATCTTTATCTCCTTCGTCTTAAGGTTAGAAAGGCTTTGAAGATGGAGCAATTGATTTTGTTAAACACTGTAAAAAAATATTTGTTAATTTTAACCAAATATTTACCAGATTTTATGTTAATCCAGGTCCACATAACTTTATGTTAAGTTTACAACCAACTGTCATCTGTTAACTTATTGAATAAGTAGTTTGTAATTTTAGCAAACATTTTGTAGATTTAATAACAAAATCCTATATCAATAATTCAACCATAATTCTTGTAATTTTCAAAAAGGAACTTATTTTTACAAACCTTTTTGTAGAGCCAGTAACAAAAGTATTTGTTGGAAATTGGGAACTTAAATGAAAAGAATTTTGATAAGAGATGTTGCTTTATCAATAAATTTTCTAAACAAAAAAATTAACACATACATACATAAATGAACACAAAAATAAAACACCATCATCAAATTATAAAGAAATTTGGTACAATATCAGTACTAACACAACACTACTGATGTATTTCGTAACTCGCACACTCGTTAAATAGATATAAGAATTTTTCTTACTACCTCGACTCAAAATACGTTGTTTCGTCCCCGATTTCACGGCAGAAAGTTTACGTTTCTTGCATTGGTCAAGCTATACGCGCACACTCTAATATCGGGAGTAAAAATTTTTTAGTCGTGTGCTTAACATTCAAATTTCGTACTGCCAACATGAGAAACACAAAAATATGACAGTTTTAAACCATAATTTTGCAATTATAACAACAAATAAACAATTTATGTTTTTACTTTTTTACTTTTTATGTTGTTTTAAGTGTTTAATGGTACTTTTATTTGTTATAAAGTAGTAATTTGTTAATTAAAATACAACCTTTTATTTTTACTGTATTGGCACCGCTGAATTACCATGACAACGCTACAGTTTGATTGATTTTGAATGTAAACGTCAGAATTAAATTAAACGTCAGATTTTAATTTTGACACAAGTTTTTTTATATACATTTAATTTTTTCCCGTATTTTCTGCGGGGTAGCAAGAAAAATAGTATACACTACACGGGCAGAAAGTGTGAGAGCCCTGAACTGCGCGCCATGATGCCCTCGGCTTCGCCTCGGGCATCATGACGCGCAGTGCAGGAATCTCACACTTTCTGCCCTTGTAGTGTAATATACTATTGAATAGCAATAAAAACAGATTTCTGGTAATACTTATAAACACTTTGGACAGTTGTTACAAATACGTAATGAATTAAAATAAAGTAAGCAGAAACATAAGTTGCAGACGCTGAAGTCAGTTGAACTTGTTGATGCATATTGTCAGTGGGAAATGTTTTGATTGACTGCCTTACCTCTCGTGTACTTTTTTAACGAAAAAATTTGTTAAACATTAAGGTACCTTTACAAATATTTTCCTTTGTTACTACAAACACTTAAAAATCTGATTTTTATAACAGTGGAGGTAGGTTCAGAAAGGATATAAAACATATTCTTATATTTTACTTTGTTCAACTAAAATGGCCACCATACAGTTTTACAAGCAGCAATAGCGCAAGACCACCCAGTGCTTTTTCCACGCGTAAACCAAAAATAAACCAGTACTCTTCAACAAAAGGCTTTGCGTATTTTAATATTCTCTCTGAAAGACGCGTTTATTTTGATATCTAAAATTTGACGACCAGGCGGCCAACTCTTTGAGTATAAATTTCAAAGATAAACCCGACTTAATTATTATAGGAGTGTTTATGCTGTTCTAAAATTAAATTTTATGAGCTCCCAGTGTGATACCCGAGAGGTCTTCACAAGGGAACACAAAATTGTAACGATATAAAAAAATTACTAAGATTAGCATTCTAAAATCCTTCCCAAACTACTACTAAAACTCTAATAATAACCTCAGTTACATTATCAAAAGCTCTATATGGAACGTGGTCCCCTTATTAGCTCAAGTAAGAGGTTCGTTGCATATCTTAGAGAGGCGCGCGGCCTTTTAAGGTTAAGTGAAGCAATATTCCTGCTGCTGTAAGTTCCTGCCAAGCAGCAGCAATTTCGAACAAACTAGCACAAAGTTGTCTCGCACTCTCTGCTTTCGATATTCGCCTTCAACTTGCGGTTTTCTTTATGCCCCAAACGAAAAGCTTATTACAAAGAAGCGAAGCCCTTTCAAGTTTTTTTGCTTTATTTGTTTATTTATTTACTGGAAATATTCATTAACGCGCTCAGCGAAACAAGAAAGTTTAATTGAGAATGTTTAAACTAAAAATTACATAAATATTATTGTTTTTATTTTTCTGCCAATGGTGCAGTTATTAAATTAGGTTCTGTGCGTCTGTGCACCTCCTGCTGATAGCGTTTGTAGGAGACGTTAATTAATATATACTCGCAGGAAATAATTGCATTTCCTGCGAACAGTTTTCCTGCTGCTTGTCACCCCCCGCCCCTCTCAGTCGCAGCAGTAATTATTTTACACGGTTGATTATGTCACACCGTGTAATTGTAATTTCGTAATTTTCCCACCCGACATTGACCGAATCCGTTCTGTGTTTTTGCAAATGACGTTTTATTTTTATTAATTAAAAATAAATTTAGTTTTATCCAGCAGGACTGTGTATCGCAGGACTTGCAGGAGTGTTCGCCATCTGGCCACATTCCTGTTGACACGTATTGGATTAGGGTGAGAATTTGGACACTTGGACGAAAGCAGAAAAAGGTTTTTCCTGCTTTTACTGCTTCCTGTCGACGAAGCACGATACGCTTCTAATGTCCACTAACAACTTATATCCTGCAAAATTAAACGCTCTGCAAAGTTTTTTACGTGAAATATCGCACAGTTTATAAAAGTTTTTATGGACCTGGATAATCTCAAACATCCTAAATTGATAACGTAGTCCTTGCTTAAAATTTACTCACCAAAATAAACACGAAAAACTCCATTAAGAGTTTAACAGATACCTACCTTAGTGGAGAAATGGTGAATATTCATTGGCAGCAGGAAATTTGCCTGAATTCTGAATTACAAATTCTTTCTATCGTCGCATTGGTAGCCAGCGTTAGAAGCGGAAAACTGACAGTGAAAGCAAATGAAGGGTAAGGGAATTAATGAATTGAATTGAGTGATTAATTAATTACCAACCTATCTCATCTGTGTCTGTTACACACGACCCTTTTGTTCCCTTTTCCATTTCATCTATTTTGTCTATTCTGTCTTTTCGAGCCTTTACTGGCTATGATGCACAGTATAGAGAAATAGTAGAACGAGATCTACTTACTGACATAGGCATCCTTGATGGGATAAAATAAAGCAGTATTTTTATTAAATTAATTTAGGACAAAATTAATAGTATGGATGGCTTCACTGTGCAGGTCTGTAGTTTTGTCTTTGGTCGTTCAGGGACAGTCAATTTACATCAATTCAAGAATGTTAATGTGTTCGGTTGCCGGAACTGCATGTGACAAATGCACATCAGCCTTCCGTCGCCTTTTGTTTTCCACGTTCCTCGCCCATTTGATCCTAATTCACTTATAGAGGGTACATTCACCATACTGTTTCTAAATCCTTAGTTTCAGTTCTGGATGTAGAAATGTTTTATTTGTTTTAAACACCTTATTTGCCACAAATTCCATTTAGAATGACGCTCGAATTGTTAGGAAATGGTTCAGGGACAAGTGAGGAGCTCATTCATGGCCTCCACGAAGTCCTGATCTAACAATTATGGAGACGATTAAAGCAGATCGTTTATCCATTTAATAAAAACCAACGTAAAACTTAAAATGTCTTTCTACTTCATAAGATCATCGCAACAAGTAACACATGTGACTCTTGGCTTTTACCTAAATATTATATCAAAGCTTTATCTTTGAAAAGATGTTAGTGTTCATGGGAGTCATCACAAAGGTTTATTGTTCTTAGAGCAATATTACTTTAATAAAAAGCTTTATTAGACACAACAAAACCTACTTTAAAATCATAACGCCTATTACACTTTAACTTTAAATTATGGGATGTCATTTATACCCTTATAAAACCATATTTATTTAAGAAACCCTTAAGGCCTAGGAAGCAGTTAAAACCAAAGTTCTTGAGGAAACTGTTCTAAGACTATTTGCTTGTGCTTTAAGTACATCTAATCTATACATCTAATACTATAATCTGCTTTATTATACTTCTGTGTGCTAGCTTCTCAAGAGCAGTTTGTCTCGATGGCAAAACATTTAAAGGCATTTTAGATTTAAAAATTACATCAAGAGACGCTATAGTGTCGTATTTAGGTTAATCTAATTAGCACATGCAAGATGTCATCATTATTCCACAAGTGGGTTAAAGTGAAAAGCAGTGTCAACTTTTATAAAAAAGTAAAAAAGGCATCGCAGAAAACTGCTTCAAGCGTCGTAATCGTAATAATACTTTGATTACAAACACTATAAAATAAAAACGCGCGTGAGACCGAATAAGAAAATAAATTATAGGTTATAATTATAACCTATATTTTTATGAGGTGCCGGAACTACTTTCCTCATAAAACCACTTTGTTTCCAGAAAAGATATGTTGCTTTAAATTAAAATAAACACTATTGATTACCTTGTTAACTGGTTAACTTTTATCAACCCCATCCTTGAACATACTGTAGATAGTCAAAAACATCTAGGAAACCTCTTTGAGTTTGCGAACCCTGTTTTTGCCTAATTGAGATGTGTTTGCGATCCCTCAGTAAGATAGTTTCTCAAGGTAAATTAGACTTAATTTAGGACAGTTGTCAGTTCTAATATAGTGTTGTCTCTTCTAGGACAACAGCAGCAATTCCACTTCGCCTTCGGCCAAAGGCCATTTCCCTTCGCCGCCTCTGATCCCCTGTCTGGATTCAGGATGCCTCCCATCGGAAATTGTAATAGTAAGTACAAAACATTTATATTTTTAACAACAAGTTTTGGGAATATTTTAAAGATTCTTGTTTATATTTTTTTATTCATTGTTGGTAAATAAAGAGATCGTTGCGCTTTTATACAACACCGCCACTAAACAAAACAGCGGCCTGGCAGCAGACAGAACGTTTGAAAAGCGGCCAAAGTAAAAAGCAATTAATTCGTTTGTGGCCAAACATTCGATTCAATAACATGAAAACGACAATGGCTTTTGTGCAAAAAAAAACTGATTCCGGTTGAGGTTTGGCAGGGGAGCGAATCGGGCCAAACAAATATCACTCAAATCGGTTTTTAAATAATTTTTTAAATGGATATTTGCCTAATTGTTGTTATTGATGGGGAATTTGATTCTGACGCGGGCTGAAACATTTGATATTTTAAATACAAACAATTTAAATTAACACAACAAAGAATTGTTTTGGTTTAAGAAGCCCCTACTCTTAATTAAGTAATCATTAAAATTCAAAAATCTCTAAAAGTCCTGAAAGAGCAAGGATTAGATTTAATTTAGGACGCCGACTTTTATGGCACTTTTGGGAGTTCAAACTAAATTTATTCATCATTCTTGTTAGCGGAGATAAAGGAATTAACTGATTTTAATTATGAGAAAGAAGGTCTTGGTAAGATATCCACATAATTTATTTATTTAGTTAAAAGATCGTAAACATTTTTTTCAGACATGTCTCAGTTCAGCCTAAGCACCACGAACTCTCATTGGGGATACTCCACAGGGGCGTACTCGCCATACTTTACGCCCAGCACCTTAAGCTCGTGCGGGGCACCCGCCACTCAATTCAACACCCCGGCCCTGGGTTTTTCCGGAAGTGCTCCGGACCAATCCTCCACTCAAGATGCCTTTACAGCCAGTTCCACCGTCAGCTCATGTAAGATGATATTAATATTAGAAATATTCCCCAACACCAAAACAACGTTGTTGGCATCTTCAGAAGCGAAGTTTAACTAAATCTAACTGCTAAATCTACCATATTTATACTAATTATAAGCTAAGATTGACTGAACCGTAAACGGACACAGTTTACTAAACCGTGGGCAGTAACCGCTTCATTGAACACGTAAAGAGAAACTAACAAACTATTTTATACAAACTAGAGCTGAGTACCGGTCCGTTATCGCTATTTAAAGATTTATTTCTATTATTATAGATGTATAAACTTTCATAACTATATAGCAGACTTGCTTTCCTAACTTCCTTAATAAGTTTAAGGTTGTCAAACCCTATTCTATGACCATCATCATGGGCAAAGTGCTCTTTGAACCTTACTTGGATGGATCGTAGATCCCCGACTTTTCTATTTTAGGAATCTTATCTTTAGGGATATTAAAGTCTCGCCTTTATAGGTTAATGTCTTTTCAAACAGAGCCAACAGAGCACACAAACGTCAAGTTTATGACTATTCCTTTAGAACCCCAGTACACCCGAGGTCTGAAAGGGATTTTTTGAAAACAAGCGGTAACACACTTCAGACACTTTTAGTTTAGTAACACTTCGCTTCTGAAGATGCCAACATCGTTGGCGAAAAATACTTTTTGTTGGGGAATATTTCTAATATTTGTTATCATATCACCAAAGTTGTCCTTCTTGAAGGATAATTGTTTCTGAAAAAAAATTAACAATGTTCTTCTTTTGAAACAGTGCTTCCGGATACTACAGCCACAGATCTGGACCAGCATTTGGGCATAGTATCGAGCCAAAACCACACCACCAACCACTCACAACCAGCCCATGGCTCTTCCCTACTTGTACCCCGATATACAACAAACCAAACCTCAGATTTCTCAATTTCGGGACCTCGAAGCCTATCTGACAACTCAAGTGCCGCTGAAAGTCCTGTGCAGGATGATCTGTTAACCCCACAGAGTGCAATTGGGGTAAACCATGTCAACAACTCGCCCAGTAACTTTAACTTGCACCAAAATATGTCGCAGAGTGGTTATACATCCAGTAATTGCAACAATTCTATATACCCTGTGTTGCCCGGATTGCTTTACTCGCAGCTATATTCAGCTGCAAATCAGAGCCACAATTTCCACACGCTGCATTCGCATCATTCCTCGCAGAGTCATCACAATGATATCCAGAGCGTTATGGATCATTTATCGTCAACAAACCAAAGAAACCAGATGAATGGCACCACCGATTTGCTTTTAACCAATAATGGTACATGTGCTGCTGCAGCAAATCGACAGGACGACCAGCGTGGTTTGAATGCTACCCAAGGACCTAGGGGCCCTGGCCCCAATGGAGATGCGGTTGTATGGAGACCATACTGAGTTTTAAATAATTTTTAAATGAGATTGTTAGATTTTAGTGTAAATGTGCCAAAACTTAATATTAATTTGATTATACAGTTAATTGGTATTACAAACTACAAACAGGAAAGGGCCCATTAAGGAGCCTTGTGGAACACTGTTAAAGCTCAAAATAGCCAAAATATCATGTAAATACTAAAAAAAAACATATTTATTATTATTTTTTAATGTTTAAAACAGAACTGTTATAAAAAAATGTTACTTGTAAACTAAAAGTGATTGAAGATATGTGCAATCTACTACTAAAATATTATCTAGTGATGTCCTGTATATAAATAAATATGATTATTTGTGAGATTAACTTTAAAATGAAAATACCGTGACATTAAATGTTTAGTATTTTTAAATCACTGTGTATATTAACGCTTTAAAGATTATTTTAACTGTACAAAAACGTTTTAATTGTTATTTAAGAAATTTTTTTGTTGATGATTACAACGATATGAAATTAAAAAGATTAAAAATAACTAAAATTGAGTTTTTTGAATTTGTTTCTAAAAATCCTTTTTGTAAAAAAATATCACAACAAAACACATCCTAAATAAGGTAAGTAGTTTTTGATTTTTATTATACTGAATTTTCATTTTTTGTGTAAACAGCTGACGCGTTTTTAAGAGGGAAAACGGTTCGATATAAACCTCCTTGATGATGTGCCCCACCATTTAAGATTGTCGATGTTTTTTATGCATGATGCTCCCCCCATTTTCCTGCGAACGTAAGGACACATTTAGATTAGGTTTACGCCGTCCGATGGATATAATGAGGGTCAATTCCGTGGCCTCCTTGTTATCCAGATCTAAATAAACTGGACTTCTGTGTGTGGGGATATTTTAAATCATTGGAGTATACACACAATTAAATAACACACCATTCTAAAATAATTAAATTATAAAAAAAATTTGTACAATATAATTATCAGTATAACTACAACACTTACTGATGTATCCCCTAATTTCAGTATGAAAACGGTTTTCAGAAAACCAGTGATGGCATGTTTTTCGGATACTTCGCAATTCGCACACTCGTTAAATATATTTATAGGTATAAGTATACTCTGGACAGTTGTTACGAACACGTTACGAATTAGAATAAAGTTGAACTTGATGCGAATTGTCAGTGGGAAATGTTTTGATTGACTGCCTAAAATCACATGTACTATTTCAACGAAATAATTTGTTAAACATTAACAAAATAATCTGTAACCTTTGAAATTAACAAAATGCCTACAAAAATGCATATTACCTTTACAAAACTTTGTTAAAATAATTGCAAACCCTGGTTTTGTACAAAAAATTATGTTAAAATTTTACAAAATAAAATTAACAAAATACATATAACATTGTATCAAAAAAATTTTTTTGTTAAATTTATGTTTCTGTGTATATTCTGGCTTGTTTAGTTTATTTAACTAAATCGTTTAAGTTTTGATAGTAAACAACCAAATTTTCCCGTGAGTGTAAAGTAACACATACACTTTAAGATGATAGATAAAAACACTGGTTGAAGGGGGTCGAAAGGAATACAGAGTAACTGTTGCTATAAGCAGACGTTAGGAGGAGGAAGTTTTACTCCCTGCGGAAACATAATAACGTCATAATCTTGATTAACACATACGTGCTCCCGGTTATTATAACAACCCTTCACTTAAATCCTTTCTGCATGAACTTAAGGGCGAGGCGTATACGCTTATAAACGTATAGGGCAGGTCTTGCTGCTAAACTAACTCTCAGTTATACTGCCAATATCACAAACAATAATCTGGATTAAACGTGCGTTTCAAAAAGTTTCTACACACATGCACAACTGCAGTTAAAGCAAAATGTCCTATTTTCACTCATATTCAAAATTTGTAGTTTGTTAATTTTATTTTGTAAAATTTTAACATAATTTAAAAAAAAAACATTGTAAATATTTTAACAAAGGAAAATATTTTACAGAAAATTTTGTAAAGGTAATATGCAATTTTGTAAGCATTTTGTTAATTTCAAAGGTTACAGATTATTTTCTGGTGTAACAAATTATTTCGTTGAAAAAGTACATGTAAATTCAGGTAGTCAATCAAAACATTTATCACTGACAATACGCATGAACAAGTTCAACCGACTTCAGCGTCTGCAACTTATGTTTTTGCTTACTTCATTCTAATTCGTAACGTGTTCGTAACAACTGTCCAGAGTGTTTGTAATATATTACCAGAAATCCGTTATTATTGTTATTTGGATTTCTTATACCTATTTAACAAGTGTGCTAAGTGCGAAGTATCCGAAAAAAGATGCCATCGCTAGTTTTCAAACTGAAATTATTGGATACACTGAAGTGGATTAAAGTTACGAAATACATCAGTAAGTGTTGTAGTAGTACTGATAATTATATTGTATACTGAATTGCTTCATAATTTGATGATTTCACAATTGTGTGTATATATGCTATTTTGTGTGTGTATATATGCTATTTTGTGTTAATTTGTTATCAAAATTCGTTTCATTTAAGTCCACAATTTCCAACAAATACTTTTGTTAATGGGTCAACAAAAAGTTTTGTAAAAATAAGGTCCTTTTTAAATTACAAGAGTTATGGTGTATTGATGAAGGACCTAAAATATGGTTAATATTTGGTTAAAATATTTTTTTACTGTGTAACTGTAAAACCATGGTTGATTTATTTTCTAAAACTCTGTAATTCAAAAGCTTTACCTAACAGTTTTAATACCTTGTACAATTGTAAAACATTTTGTGTATCGTTTCCCAAAAGGATTTATTTATAGCGGATGGCCAAATATCGAGCCGGATTGTGTTTTATATATAAAATACATTTATTCGTCGCGGCATATGCTGTGTAGTATTTAGAGGGTGCAGGGGTCCCAAACTGGGCACTATATTAGGTTAAATCGACGTTTGGGCACGCATTATAGCCTACTAATTAGCGGTGGCAGGTGTAGCGTATAGCGAAATTCCCGAATTCCCCTTTACCAATTCCATTATTCCCATCTCTTCCAGTTTTATTACTTATTTATTTTCCAATCAGTCACCATCGACTGACAAACATGCTTGTAAATATTGAGTGCGACTGGTGAGGAAAATTTGTCATGGATTTTCGTTTGATGGACGGATATGAAAATATATAAATTGAGCCCAAATTTTTACAAATTAAACATTATGTTTTTAAGGAAATTAAATCAATGAACGTATGTATGTATATTATGGTGATTTATTTAAAAGGAACATTTATTTGTTGTCACTTTTGCCCTTAAAGTTTACGCCCTCATTTTACTGAACCGCTTGATTACAAATTTCATAAAGCAAAACATTCCTTGAAAAAATTGTTTCTAAACTAACAAATATCAGTCGTCAAATTTAGTTAATGTAAATACGAGTAGTTCAATATTTCTGTGCTTTTATTTTTTTTCGATTCGATAAAAAATTGTTTATTCTATTGCGGAAAGAGTGAAAATTATTAAATTGTTTTTTATAAACAATCAATGTGCAAGAGTAACGACCACTTTGTTTAATGAGAGGCATGCAAATATATTCTATAGACGCGCACATCATGGTTACATTCTAGAATTAATGCCAAAATTCCGGCAAATTGGTTCAGTGGAAAATAAAAAAAGGAGATATTGATAATCCGGTGAGAAATGAAGCAGTAGAAGTAGCTGTTCTGGGTGAAACTATTTTGGACCCTACATTAAGTACCAGAAAACTCTATGATGTAACGGGAGTTACAAAGAATTCTGAAACATAATAAATGGCACCCACATAAAATTCAACCTCTTTAAGAATTGCATGAAAATGATAATGACCGTAGTTTACATTTTTGTGAAATAATGTCCGAAATAATTATAAATACTCCCAACTACGTTCTTTATGATTTCTTCTCAGAGGAATGTTAATTTTTTCTCAATGGCATTGTCAATCATCAAATTGTCTTCATTGGTCCGACACGAATCCAAGGATCTTCCATGAAGTTCATACTCAACATCCTTCGAAATTAAACGTTTCGGCTGGTATTTTTGGTGATGACATAACTGGTGGTAATCGAAATTATGGAAAATGACCAACGTTACCATGAAGAAAATCCGATATTTCAGCAAGACATTATGCATTACCTGTTTCTGAATAGAACGTTTCCTGGTAGATTGATTGGCACATCTGAAATCCAAAACTTATGACACCCAGCCGAATCCTTAGAAGATTTACGGAACCGCATCACTAATGAATGCCAACAAATTACACCAGATATTCTTCACAATGTCCGGGAACACTTTGAAAAGTTGCTGTACTGTTTTCGATGGGCCACCCTGTATATATCATTCTGAAAACTTTTGGTTAAATTGACCGTTTGTGGTATTTTGTAGAAAGAGGACAGCATGAATAATGTTTTAGGTATGAAATGAAAGTTTTCGCAAACGGAAAAATAAAGAAGGAATTTAGAGATAAAGGTGGAATGCCGGAAAATACAAAGAATGGTTTAATGTTAATAAATATCACAGAAGGTTTGTTTTAAATTATTTTGGGTAAAATTCTTTTAGTAAATATTTATTACTCAAACCAACTCAAGTTGTACATAAAAGAAAACGCTTCACAAAAATTACAATTAAAAATAGTATTTTTCTTCTATTGTCCCTGTAAATTTCCTCTTGTCAATCATCGTTATATATATGATTAAACGAAGCAGAATTCCCTGAAATTTCACCATCAAAGGGACGACTCATCGAAACCGAACTTTAGTAAGTAAAATGTGATTTAATTTTAAATGTAAGGTGATAATTTAATTTTGTTTGTTAAGCATAATGAAGTTCGTCTCATCGTTCACCCCCTTCTTTGCTTCCACGCTTTCTCTGATCTAGTGAGTGTCGTTTGAACGGTTCAAGTTACCACTCATGTTTTGGGTATATATACACAAATTAATTTTATTAATTTTTACAAATAGATTAAACAAGAATAGCCTGCACATTCACAATTTAGATTGAATTTTTGCCTATGGTTTTTCGGTGTCAATTTAATCAAATATTAGAAATATTCCCCAACACCAAAACAAAACACAAAGTGCTTAAAG